CGTGCGGGCAGAGCCCCCCAGCCTGCTCCCGTGCGGGCAGAGGCCCCCCGCCTGCCTCCATGCAGGCAGAGGCGCCCGGGCCGGGGTCAGAAAATGGGCTGCTACTCCCCGGCTGTGACAGTAACTGGACAAATCACGTCCACTCTCTGGCCATCTCCTGTAGGCCAGGTGGGGCTGGCTGCAGCCTGTCCCCCTGCGGGCTCTCTGACATTTCTAGCCCCGTTCCAGTGTCGGGAGGTGCTGTTCCTACTACGGTTATGCTGGGTCACCCACAGCGGAGGTGTGGGCTCTCCCAACCCTCCCACAACCTCAGGTCTCTCCCACACCGTAAGGAGTCGTACTTGCAAAGTCCTTTCTGGTTCTAAAATTCTCTGACTGTGTGGCTATCGGTGGGTCGAGTTAACCAAGGGCAGCCTATCCTGGGGGAAAACGTATATAAGACTCAGGTTCCTGGTCAAATTTGTCGGCGACAGATGCGGGAATTTTGACTGGGACACACTAGAACTCCTGGGCTGAAACTGGTGGTGACAACTTAATCTCTGAAAATGACAGCACCCTTCAGACCACAAGCTTTCCAAAACCACCCATGTCCTCCTTAGAGAATTTACGTCAAATGGTGCTTGTCACAGAAGCCGCCCAGCCAAAGGGGCTTCAGGGTGAGAGTCGCTGTATCAGAATACACGCAGGTCCCTGAGGTTCTACTCAGGTAAAGCTGTTCCCTGGTGCCCACTCAGTGGTGTGAGTCCCTCTTCCTGCTCTGTCCTTGTCAGTCAAACACCTTCCCAACTGTAGAGAAATACAGATGAGAAATCTCCTGGAATAGCACCCTTGATGATGGAGTACTCTGTTCCAATTTCTTAACGTGCCCCAGGCTGGGAATCTGGTATCTCCCTCATCCTGCCAAATTGGCACAGGATGTGTCCCAAACTGGAAAAAGGGTCCGTTGGCTCGCTGGGTGCACAGCCACACAGACTATCATTAGAAGCGACCTGGACACCAAGCTCAAATGCGTGACCCAGACATCTACAGACACCGCACCTTTTCTCAAAGCCCCAGTTTCAAATTCTGCTTCTCCGCTCACAACTGTCCCCAAAGACATGAGACTCACAGTGGCCACAGGGCACCCAGTTCATCACGAACCACCAGATGTTGAACATGCTGGCGTGGTGGTAGACGTGCAGGACGGTGATCTGGTGGTTGTTCTTGCGCAGGATGAAGAAGAAGGTGTCCATGAACTCGATGAGCTTGGAGAAGTAGTACCACCAGAGCACGCGGATGATCTAGGGGGAAGGGGCTGTCAGTGCCTCCTGCCGGGGTCCGCTCCCTCCCGGCATCCCGCGGGAACCCCTGCAGCCGGGGACGCCGGTCACTCTGTGCTGCCTTGAACCAGAACACCAAGGAGGGGGGGCCCTCAAGTGACCACAGGGAAAGCTTTAAAAGGGCTGCGACACCCTTCGAGCCCCTAACAAAACCTGCTCCCTCTGCAGGAGCCTGCTGAGCCATGGGAAGAGGGAAACTCCGGGGAGGGCACTTGCGATCTCAGGGGCCGGCAGGGGGACAGGACACGAGGCAGAGGAGCGGAGGAACTGGGGCCCCCAGCACCAGGTCCTGCCCAATTAAATACGCCACACAGGGGCTCTAGGGGAATGACTGGCAGGGGAGGGTAGACCTCAGTGGGAGAGCACATGCTTAGCGTGCATGAGGTCCCGGGTTCAATCCCCAGTACCTCCGTTAAATAAACAAACTCTAATCACGCATCCCCCAAAAAAGGAATTTAAAAAAAAGGAGACAACTGCCCTGCTGAGTGTATCCTGATAGCCCTTCATTAAAAACAAAAACCCCAAACACTCACGGAAGCTGAAATCTAAAGACCACCCTTGAGGGCACTTAGAGGAATGGTTTAAGCACTTCAGACATTATCCTCACGATTCCGTTTATATTATATAAACAGAGCTTAAATACTGATAAATGCATGCACATTTTTCCCCCTCCCGGAAGCTGTTACAGGACTTAATTTTTGCAGAGAGGGAAATTTTAGTTTCCATTCTATACCTCTTTCATGCTGTTTAACTTTTCACACCATGTGTACATATTGCTTTAAAATTTTTTAAAAAATGTCAGCAGGGATACCCTGAACAGCCACCTTGTCTTTTGTACAATTTCTTTCTTTTTTTTTAAAACAGACTTTAGAGCAGTTTCAGGTTCACAACAGAACTGAGCAGAAAATACAGAGTTCGCACACAGCCCTCCCCACTCACACACATAAACTCCCCTGCCCTCAGCCTCCCTCATCACTGCGGCATATTTGTGTACAATTTCTTAATTAAAAAAAACCAGACAGTACCTTCATATCTGCTTCTCCTGCGCTGTGTGTGCCCTGACAGAAGAAGTTATATTTGCCTTCCCATACTCCCATCACTAACTGGAAAAGAAAGACAAAAGGGAAGCGCCAATTAGCAACAACATCAGAACCAGGAAGAGCCCTGATAGTCAATTAAACTTCATTAGTTTAGGAATCTGGGCGAACTGACCTTGGGCTGTGCCGAGGCAAGTCTGCTCTGACAACACGCATGAAGATAAAGGTGTGTGAACGGGGGTTTAAACCACCTGGGCCTCCTCTTCACATGGGGCGGGGGGCTGGGGTCACTTGGGAGGCCCTGCTTTGCTAAGCGGCCTCTCTCCAGGCCCTTGGTTCCCCTGGCTCCCTCACGGGCACCCGAGTGACCCCATCATGGCTCCGGTCCTGCCCTGCATGGCCTGAGGGAAGCTGCAGGTTTTCACCATCAGGCTTTCCCTAAGCCAAGCTTTCTCAAACTTGCCAGTGCAGGGCCAGAGTCACCTCAAGGGCACGTTGAAATACTCATGGCTGGGAGGCCTTTCTGGCCCGTAGGTCTGGGTGGTGTCCAAGAATTCCCATTTCGAGCACTTCCCAGGTGATATGCTGGCTGAGATCCCCCAGGCGGAGAGCCACTGCGGCAAGCCTGGGGGTGGTGGAGCCCAGCCTCAGTCTTCATGACTCCCCGAAGCTGCATCATCCCCTGATCTGCAGACCGAGGAAACTGGCCAGCCTCAGAGTTCACCTGCAGCACAGCGGGCACTGTGGCATTGCAGAGAGGGCACCTGGCCTGGGGACAGGCCCCAGGGAGCAGAGCGGCAGGGCCCCCAGCACTCCAGGAGGGCCACAGATGCCTCACCTGCACACGGGGACGAGGCCCGGCCGGGGTGAGCCCTGCGGACCTGCTCTGGCAGTCCAGAGGGAAGGTCTGATCTGGCCACCCGGGGTGTGACCGGTCCACTATGCCATCGGTCCACTATGTTCCAGACAGAGAAACCTGCATGAGATGCTCCTTCTTCATGCAGACGGCGGCTCACCGCCACGTGTGGGAGCCCCAGCACCCTTCAGGGGTCCCGGTGGCTCTCCCTCTAGTGGTCAAGGGGGGCCGCGGGAGGAGAAACCTGGGGTGGTCCAATAAAGAGGAACTGACCACTGGGCCTCAAAGTGCGGTTCCTGACATGCCCCCCGACTCTGGAGCACGAGCATGTGTGGGAACTCGTAAGACATCACGTTCTTGAGCCCCGCCCAGACCTTCAGAATCAAAACCCTTGAGAACACAGCAGCGTGGTTTACAAAGGGGGCCCCCCCCGCCCCCGCCTGCAGCACCAGAATCACCATCACCCAGCATTGCCAGGAATTTGCTAGAAATACAAAACCTCGTGCCCCACCCCACACCTACTGAATCAGAAATTATTGGGTGTGAAACCCAGTTACTTGGCAGGTTATTCGAATGTAACTGACATTTGAGAACTTCTGGCTTAACGTCCTGCTGCAGGATGGGCTCCCCTGGGGAGCTTTTAAAAAATCACTAATGCCTGCCCCACCCCCACCCACCCAGCAGACCATTAAACCAGAAGCTTACAGGGCCTTTTACCAGCTCTCAAGCTCCCAATGGGCAGCGAGGAGTGGGAGCCACTGGTTTCGTGCTACCTGATTCAAGTGAGAAACAGTTCACTTCCAGTGCTGTGGGAAGACGCAACAGACGCGGGACTCAAGAGCCCCTTGCTGCACACCCCCCGGCAACTGTCCTTGAGCAGAGTTTACCGCGGGAGCCACACAGATGCTCTCCGGGAACAGAAGCTGATCACCAGGGTCTGAAGACAAACCGTTAAACTTCCACCCAGTCTGACCTCAGAAATAAAAGCCAGCAGTGGGTGCATCCCTGCTTCAATCTGATTTTGTTTCTGATCACAGGAGCAACTAGCTGAGACGGTGTGGATACTTCAAAGAAAACTCGTCATCACTTCTGGGCAGTAAGAGGCAAACATTTTCAAATACACCAGGAGAAAGTAAAATCTTTGTTCACAGAAGACTTCCTTTGAAAATAGAAATTTATAGTTGTTTTACATTATTAATGAAGGAGAGGCAGGTGGTGCATTTAAAAAATACTATGGAACACCAGACCACACCTGCCATCTATTTCTGTAAATAAAGTTTTATTGGAACAAAGTCACTCCAGTTCATTTACAGTGTGTCTGCCGTTCATGCTAAAATGGCAGACGGGCTCACAGAGCCTTAAAAAGAAAGCGAAGTTGTGGACCTTGATGACATTTTCATAGGTCTACCGCCAATGAGAGAAGTAAGTACAACACAGCAAAGTTCAATGAAGGTAAAAGCGTGCAATTTATACCTTTATTTAGAACAGCATTACTTGGCAACATTTAAAATTTACTAACACATGGTTATCCTCACTAGATACATTTTTTGGAAATTTTATCATCTTAAGAATCTAAAATTCTACATGGCTGTGTTCACTATTGTCTTACCTTGGCAGGGCTTGAGAAAAGCCAGGAGTGCTCGGGAAGAGGACCCATCCTTCCCCACAGTCATGCAGGTGCCCCAGCCTGCAGGGTGGGCCGAGACGGAGGGATCTGTCAACTCTCCTGGGAGGGACTCTCTGGCACATGACTCCTGTCTTTCAGAAGAAATCCAGGTGGCATTGCCTCAACTCTTTAAGCAAATTAATCTAAAATTCCACCTGCCTCTTCCCTTGTAACAGGAAAGAAAAAAAAAATCTCTGTATAAAACACCGACTGTCTCTGGAGGCTAAAGAACTGACACCGAGGTGCTGGGTGGTGCACTTGGTCGTGCTGAAGCACAGAGCACAGGCACGAACCAGAAGCTTCTCACTTAGGGCCCCTCACTGGAGGAGCCCACCCCGCATCTTCCACCTGCAGAGGCTCAGTGCAGGCGCCCCCATCACTGCTGCCCCTGCACTTCCGCAGGGGGCCCTGGTGCCTCTCCAAGCGCTGAAGCCTGCGTTCAAATCCTTCAATGACTCTGTCTTCAGATCGAAACCCGAAACCCTAAACCCTAAACCCAGCACGCAGGCACTCATGACCTTCCAAGAACGTACCTCGAAGCCGATCTTCTTCCCTTCCTCCCTTTCCCCGAGCCAGACCGTGGCCCCTCTGCTCCCCAAGCACGCCCTTCCTTCAGCGGCCAGGGAGCGCGGGTAATCAGCTCCCCCGCCTGGTTTGGCCAGGTGACCTGGGACAAGGAACTCCAAGCTTTTGGCCTCAGTGTCCTCACCCCTCAAACAGGATAAAACAACTCTCTCGCCTGCCCAGGCTGCCTAAGAAGCTGGAGGTGACATGATGCTCACCTTGACCCGCCTGGCAGAGAGGCAGCACAGGAATACTCATCCTTTTCAGCTGCAGTGCGCTCAGCACCCAGACCCCCATCCCCAGCTTCCACCATCCCACCTGTGCATCCGAGTCTGGCTTCAACCCTCTCTTCTTCACGACTGCCCCCCCGAGCACTCCTGTGGAAGCCCCTTCTCCTGCCTGAGCCCACCCCGCCCCATCATTTGCTCACCTGCCCCTGCAGGCCCTCCATCACTGGCCCTGAAAACCCTCGGAGGTGGTGGCCGCCGTGTCCACACCCAGAGCCCAGCGGGGGGCGGGGGGCAGGGGGGACTTGTACACAAGAGGTGCTGGACAAATATTTGCCAAACTAACGACCAAGAATTCAAGGTGCTGCTTTCTGTCCCATAAATCTAGGCCCAGTGTTTTCTTTGCGGCAAAAGAAGAAAAAAAAGCAGCTGCAGCTTTATTTCATTTCTACTTTGCAAATAAAGAAACTGAAGTATGAGGAAGTATGTTAACGAGGCTTGACTGTGACAATCCTGCTCCCAAGATGAAAACCAGTTCCTCATCAAGCGTCATCCTGGTGACACGGAAAGTTTATTAATTATTACACATCCTTGGTTTCAGAAGGGATAGAATGGTCTAATACAGGAGGACCAAGCCCCCAAGTTGAAGTTTATTCCTCTAAGCCTCTCAGCCGCCCTCCACAGAAGTGGTCCAGATCAAGGTCCTGCCTCCTCCTCCATTCCCATCAGAAGAGAACGGCTCGTCCGTGGGTAACAGACCCCGGGGGCTCTCGGAGCCGAGGCCTGGCCTTCCCTGCAGCCCCCGAGGAGCACCTCGGGGTAGAGACAATGCTCATGCCTCACCAGGCTTCTTTCCCGGAGCTGCTCTGGTCCCGCCCTGGAAACTCATCACACTGCGGCCACCGTGGGGAGAGGGCCCCAAAAGTGGGACAAAGCGAGGCGCTGGCAGTGAGGGCAGGATTGGGACCCAGTGGACAAGCAGGCCAGGTGAGCGGCTGGCCACAACTTCTGCAGCTCCTGAGACCACCGGCTACTCCAGGAGCAGCCGAGGGGCACTTGTGACCCTACCTGGCTTTTCCCAAGTAACCAAGATACACACAGCACCGCTGCAAACCCCATGTGCTTTCTCCTTCTTTGGAGTAAAGTAAACTCTAATCAGGCCAGAGGCTCGTGCAGGCTCTGATGAAAGCGTAGCTAAAAGCTCTCTTCTCTCCTTCTGAGACAAATTCAGTAGAAGATGGTCTTGTGCATCCTCTCGTGCACGAAAGAAGAAAACCGAGGTGGGTCTCATAGCTGGGTCTGGATGACGCAGTTTGTGGAGCGAATCATCTCTTACCGGTCAGAGCCAACTTTTCTCATCGGACCCCTGGGTTTAACCACAAATGAGGTATACCCCGCCCCCAGCATGATAACCACTTCTGGCCCTTTCTGGAATGCTACCAAAGCATCTCAAGAAGCAAGGTCCTTTGAAACCCTTCAGGCAGAAGACGGTCTTCCTGTGTGACCCTTACCCGTCCTTCACCCCAACATCCCGAGATGGCAGAACAAGACGACCCCTTTCCATAGGGGCCGACCAGTTTAGTGATGAGGGTTTGACAAGTGCTGTGGTTATTATCTACCCCCTAAGCAGAAACGGAATGAAAAGTAATGAGAACAGGCTCTGTCCATGCTGAGACTCGACTAGCCCAGGGCGCGGGGACTTTTCTAGGCAACAGCCCCAGGAGAATGTGAGGCTGGCGTCGTCAGATTCCAC